TTTTATTAAGGTAATAAAATAATTTAATTATTATTATTTTAACGATTGTATGACATTTGACAACTGTCAACTTACTTAAAACTAACTTTAGCCCGAAAACCTATTGCTAACTTCAACCTGTGACTAAAACGCCATAATGCCATAACTTGTGTATTTAAAAGATCACTTTTTGTTATGGAAACATGTACGATAAAGGGCGTTTTAAAGGTGAGAGTAAAAAAATCCTTAAGTTATGGTTGGACTGCCCTTTAAATAAATACATATTTATTAATATAAAAATAATAATAAATAAATATTTTTCAGGCCCTATATACAGTGTATTTAAACATTATACATTATATCATACATACATTATACCCCCCATTAAAAAAAAGTTTTTTGGGAATATACTATAGAAATTTGAGTTTGGGAAAATTTCAGCTTTACTAAAAAATTGTTGGCGCCCAACAGCATTTCTGTTCTCTCTCAATCCAAATCTTTTCTTCTCAGCTACCGATTTATGTTTGTATGTGCCCGACATTTTTTTATTCACTTTTGCAAGATCTACATACTTGGCCTATAGGCCACTATAGTGGCGTCTGGCATAAAAAACCCCGGGAGAAAAGCGAACTCTATTGGCAATAATAGAAACGTTGGATAGGCAACCCAATGTGTGATTTGGGTTGCTACTCAAATTTGCAGATGGTCAATGACATTCTTTGACCGATTTAATATAAAAACAGATTTCCTAAGACAATATCCAAACACCTGGCCTCAAAATAATGAGTTCCAAGAAAGATTAAAAATTGTCAAAACATTAAAAGTAGTTAATGATATGGCTGAGCGTGGTGTTAAATTAATAACCGACTTTAACAACCTTCTGACTAAAGATGAAGGCCAAAAGCAATATGTCCTGCAAGTTGTAAGCAAATGCCGAGCATTATATCCTGACGTTTCAAAAACTACTTTAACAAAAGCTCTAGAATAGATTACACTGAAAGAAATTTATGTTTCATATATGGACTACCACATACATTGCTAAAACAAACATATAATATATTTACCTTAACCATTTTTATATTTAGTTTTAACATATTATGTTAAAACTAAATATAATATATGTTTGTTTTAGCAATGTATGTGGTAGTCCATATATGAACCACAAACATTGCTAAAACAAACATATATTTCTTTCAGTGTAGATAACTATGTAAAATCAACTTATGTAGGTACTACGTCTGTATCTTTTCTGTGTCTGTTTTGTATGTATTATATACCTAATTTTTATATTTTAAAATAAAAAATGTCATTAGACTTATCACTGATAAGTTATCAGTATTACTTGTTTTTTTATTATACTTCTACTTTAAACTCAAAAATATACCAAAAAAAGCAAAATTTATCATTTAATAACAAAATCTACGAAGTATGCTCCTAGTGGTACCAGGTCATGTTTTTGGGGCTAAACTCCGTTTGACTTAAAATAACAACAATTATGTATAGATTACAAATTTTGATGAACAACTATAGCTTTCTTTTGAGATATTAAGCGTATTTTTATTATTTACCGTTCTGGAGTTATGGCTCCATATGTCAGCTGTTTGGCCAAAAATTTTGGATTTTTTCAAACTTTGAGCGACGTCGTTTAATCGAGCTCAAATTTCGGCTAACTCAATATATGGAAAGGGGAATCGTTTTGTGGGGTCCAGACGAACAAAATTCCGACATTTTTTTCCAACCCCTATGAGATGCGGTCACCCTAATGGTCATATTTGTTATGTGCGGATAGTTAATATGCAGCATAAACAGCAGCTGTTAAGTTAAAAAATGGTTGGTCAGGATCAAGTCTGGGCCCCCAACATGACGGTCCCTAAACTCAATACGCAGTGGCCCGCTCCATGTGGGGCCCTGAATAAATCTAATACAACTTTAGTAGGTACTTATAGTTTTATAATGCATTCCTAACAACAAACTTTTAATTTTACTTTAAAGTATTTTGTACTGTGCAGACCAGGTGGGCTTGGTTCTTCTATAACTTTGGGGGTTGGCTCAAAATCATTAAACTTTTTCTAATGATGCCTCGGTGAATACTGGGATTTTGTTGGTACTTCAGTTCGAGCTAAAAGACTGTTGTTCTGGGGAAAATTCTCAAACCGGATTATGATTGCAGGCGTGGATTTTGAGGGCGAAAAGTATTGTTGAGACTCCTATTGTGCTATCTGAGCTAATTGTGAAAAATAATCTTTGGGGGTTTCTGATTGAGGTCGGAATATTTAAAATTGTGGTTGTTGGGTGTATGTAGGTATTGACTTCGATAGGGCGTTGTTTATCCCAACTGACTTTGATGATAGTTATAGTAAGGCGCACATTAATGATACTGATTTTACCCCACTACACGTAGAAAATAAGACAGTAACCATTGATGCACAGGACACTAATCCACTTAATATTCAATGTCAATGTTAACGTCAACTTTAATGTACCATTTAAAATCTTACGGGTTACTTTGACGTCAGCAATGGCTATTTTTTTTAAATAATATATACTATAGTAGTTTGTTTTGCAACAACTTATTTCGAAGTTCATTGTAGTTGATATCCCATAAACCATTTTGGCGTAAAAATGTCAATATCGATCATTTTATGACAAAGAATTTTGGGCAAAGCTATAGCTTATACTTATAAGTAAATCATTGCGAATTAACGTTATTAGAGGCATTCTAGGATGTCGACGTTTAATTTCAAGAAAATGTCGACGTCGCCACATAAAAAATTCAATTTTTTTACTTAAGAATCTTAAAATATAATTTTATCCTAAATGGTTTAAGAGGATACCCGACAAAGCTTAATTTAACGTCATAATAGGAATTTTAGAATGTCGTGACATGGTTTTTAGGGTAGTTGACATGGAAAAAATTGTTAGTTAAAAGGGTATGAAAAGTCAATATTGTTTTTGACAATTTTTTTTTACTTGCATAGCCATATAGCATAGCTATGTATAAATTAGCAGACTTAAGCCTCATTCAGAACCTCGTAATTAGTGGAAAAAATTAGTGGTTTCAATTATACTTATAATTAACACAAAACGATTATTCACAATGCGCAAAATTAACATATAAAATTAAGGGCATTTGCAAAAAGATTGTCCATTTTTCTTAACCTGACATAACCAATATTAATTATATTAGAATAATATTTTTTACAACCATTACAAAAATATTTATATAACCTTACCTTCACTGGCAAATCTTCAAACTTTTTGCTTTTGACATAAAATATCCGTGCACATGCGCAAAGTCGCTTTCCAATTATAATTAGTGGTAAAAGTTAGAAGTTTGCAAACTTTTTCTACTAATTGAAAAGTACTATCACTTATTTTTTGGTTGTAAACAACACTGTGTATATTCATAAGACAAACTTTTACGTTAATTGAAACCACTAATTTATTCCACTAATTACGATGTTCTGAATGAGGCTTTACTTTTTAAGTTACAATTACTTAAACTACATTAATGTTTTAAAACAATTTTTCATTAAATATATCTAAAAACTTCCTCTTTACATAGTTAAGATCGAGGGGTAAACCACTGATTTTAAAAATGTATAAATCGCATACGAATTAACGGCTAAGGAAAACAATCACAAGGGTAGTCATGCGCAACGCGTCGCTAAGAAAAAATTCTTATTAATAAGGATTTTTCCTTATTTATAAGGACTGATAAGGAAATTTAAGAATACAACGTTCACATAACGTTTAACGTTGGTCTCGCTAATTTTAAAGTGGTTTACACCTCGGTTTTGATCATGAGTTGTGATTTTAATAACATATTCAATTAGTCCAGGAAACAAAAATTGTAGAAGGGAAATTCGATGGTAGTAGGGTTTTATTTTTTTTATCTAGAGTCAGGGGTGCTGATAATAAATCAAGAATATTCCCCAAAAATTTCTTTCCGCGTCCCCTAATTTCATTCCCCGAGTTTTTTGCTTTTTGGCTCATAACTCGTTAACCTTGCATTTTTTCAGAATTTGACTCTAATACTAAATAAGGCACACGTTAAACCCCATTGCGCACCTATATGATGTGCCTTTTTGCTATGCGCAGTGTGCAAAGTTGAGCGTTGCTTTCAAAATCACTTTTTTGTTTTTTTTTATTATAGCCCAATTTTAAAAGTAATCGATCCCAAACCTTACGGTAATCAAACAATCGAATGGACGATTTTTTAAGGTACTAGACTTTTTAATGTACAGGAGGTTCTATTTTTAAAACTTTAATGGGGAACTTGCAATGAAAATAATTTTAAAAAACTACGGATTCGTTACTAGCATAAGTGTACCTAAAAACCTAGGGTAGAACGAACTGGCTCATTAAAGCCGTTTGGAAAATAAAAAATGGGTTTTTGGAAAAAGAACCCCCTGTACATTGAAAAGCAGTAACTTTTGGAAAAAGTGTAGTACTTCAAAAAATTGTCCATTCGGTTATGTTTGATTACCGTAAGGTTTGGGATCGATTACTTTTAAAATTGGGCTATAATAAAAAAACAAAAAAGTGATTTTGAAAGCAACGCTTAACTTTGCACACTGCGCATAACAAAAGAGCACATCATTTAGGTGCGCAATGGGGTTTAACTTGTGCCTTATTTAGTACTTAATCAAAAGTATTGGAAGTGAAATTCTGAAGAAATGCACGGTTAGCGAGTTATGAGCCAAAAAGCAAAAAAAAACTCGCCTTTCGGGGGATGAAATTAGGGGACGCGGAAAGAAATTTTTGGGGAATATTCTTGATTCATTATCAGCACCCCTGACTTTACATAAAAAACCCGACTACCATCGAGTTTTCCTTCTACAATCTTTGTTTCCTGGACTAAATAGGTTTTTAAGTAAGTTTTTATTTTGATATACTTTAATTAATTTTATAGCAATAAACAAATTAAACTAAATAATTAAACTTTTATTAAAAAAGACAAGCAATCAAATCCTCGACAATTTTATTTATAAAATCTAAAAATAACGAGACTAACAATTTTAACAATAAATAACAAGTTTTTAAGCCTATACTACCCTTTAAATAAATATATTACAACTATAGTACAAGTCTTAAAATATGTTGGAACTGTTTGCCAACTTCTAATTTTTTTCGTATTTTATACTGCCCAGACCAGGTGCGCTTGGTTCTTCCTTAATTTCAGGGCTAGGCTCAAAATCAGTAAGGGTTTGCTGTTGATACTTTGACGAATACTGAGATTTTGTTGGTACTTGAACTTGAGCTGACTGTCCTGGTGAAATGTCGTTAATTTGACCAAAATGGGCAGTCAATTGGCTTCTTATTTGAGTCTGTTGTTCTGGGGAAAAATTTTCAAACCCCGTTATGATTGCAGGCGTAGATTTAGAAGGGTAACTTAAGTATTGCTGAGCTGCGTATTGTGCTATCTGGGATAATTGTGTAGGATATTGTTTGGGGGTTTCCGATTGGCTTCCTGGTTGGGAGTGTTTTAAACTATCAGTAGTGGCTTCCCGTTGAGAACTGTAATATTTTGAAGAATCGGAATCAGTTCCTACTTGAGTACTGTAATATTTTATAGGAACTGAATCAGTTCTCACTTGAGTACTGTAATATTTTGAAGGAACTGAATATCCTAAAAGATCGGAATATTTTAAACCCTCAGCGGTAGGTGGGGATTGTGATTGTTGATGGTATGTTGGTACGATTTGTTGGCTTTGATATTGCGGCTGACTTTGATAATAAGTTTGTGATCCAGTTGAAGTTTGATGGTAGTAAGGCGCACTTTGATGATACTGATTTGAAGCAACTACTTGATAGTTTGGTTGTGTTGCAACTACTTGTTGTAAGGTGTATTTTTGCTGAGAGTATTGTGGTTTATTGTTGCCATGAAGAAATTGGTACCTAAAATAAAACAGTATTGGAAAAAATATTGTTTTTTTTATTAATTTTCTTACTTTGCTTGTGGATGACTGTGAAAATAGTTTAAAAGCTGATGTGCCTGTGCGTTGTATAGTAGATTAGCTGGCACTAAGGCAGGATGTGCAATAATTATCATAGCTGGTTGTTGATTTACGTAAACAGATTTTGGGACGATCTTTACGTACTGTCCGGTTTGTCCCAAACTCTGAAGTCGGGCTTGGACATGAACTGGCCGATACTAAAATATAAAATAATATTTGGCTAAATAATATAAAACTATCTAAGCAGTTTTTGACAATACTTGTAATATTGTGTATTGAATAAAAAAAGAGGAAATAATACGTTTAACTTACTTGTCTTACTTGTTGTTGGTAATATTCTTGTGGTTCTTGTTTAGGCAGTGAGGATATGGCATTTGATGATGTTTCTTGTTTGGTCTTTACATCTTGGACCTTTGACACGTCTGCTGTTACCAGACAGACTGCGAAAGAAATTACAACCTAGAAAAATATTAAGTGATTTTTTTTATAAAATACTTGTCACTATAATATAAAAGTAACTATACATGAAAAAACTAAAAATTTAGGTTAAAGATAATCTTTTTCGTTAGTTATATATAATATTATTAATGTATACATATAAGTGAGATTCAAAAAATCTACTATTCTTTTTTTGTTGACACTGTTATTAAAAAAATGATATACTCTCTAAAAATGATTTAGCCAAAAATGGAGCAGTTTTTGAGATAAAGTCAATTCCATATTAAATGGAATATTGACTATCTCAAAAAATGTTCTACTTTTTTTAACTTTTGACGGTATTTTCGGATTCAGGGGACAATTTTACATAAGAATTGGCTGTTGAATTTTGGGATACCATGGTATTCCAGGGTTAACCATGGTACAAGTGAAAAAGCAGCCACTAATAACTATTAAATTAGTCATTTTTGACTAATTCATTTTTCGAGACTACAAAAATGTGTTCTTTAGTTTTTTCGATGAATGTAAGCAAAGATAATTGCGCGAGCGAAGGAATAATAAGTTTTGTTTAATATAAAGTATATCCCGTATGGTCTAGTCACTATCCTAACCACTAGACTCTAGTGGTAAGGATACCTAGCTCTTCATATAGCACGGGTTTTTATTTTTTTTTCTAAATAATTTATTGGAATAAATATTGTAATGTAATTATTTATATAACAAATAAATGTTTTTAATGTCTCTTATCCAAAAGGCTTGGATACCGGAATACTTTTTAAAAAATAATATTTTTTAATAAACTTTTAGAAAAGATTATTTTTATTAATAAGAAAACAAATTTATGGAGATATTTTAAAAATCGACTAGTAAAATGAATATTATATTATTAACATATTAGTTTAACGGTAGTCATTCACAAAAAGTTAAAATATAAGTTTAACTTTAATTGCGATTATATTGGAAACACTTACATTTATCAAAAAACCTAAGGAAAGCTTTTTGTACGTCACCTTATTTCCAACTTATATTTACTACTTATTTTAAAAGTCTATTTTGTAAGTTATAATTAATAATGAATATAAATCAAGAATAATATGATTACACAATCTAATAATAACTGTGTAATGAAAGACTAAATATTTAATTATAATTACTACTATTATTCAAAACAAAACCACATACATTTGTCTATGCTCTTGTAATGGTAAAAATTTGTATTGAATTGTCAAGTGTAAACCCTGTAGAGTTTTTTAAATTTTTAAATTACTATTTCAAAACACAAATTATATTTTTATAAAATTAATTATGTTCATTAGACCACATGACAAATTGCGATTGCAGCAAATAAAAATTTAATTAAATAGAAACCTAATTCAGTCAAATTTCAAAACCCCAAAAACACTAAAGCACGTTTAACCTATAGGTTAAACGACGAGTGTTTATTTTATGTATACATAAAATAAACACTCGTCGCCTACAAAGCCTCTAACCAATGGGCCTCCTCTATAAAGAACTAAAAATCTTTTAGACAAACGCACAGGGTGTTAAATTAAACTTTGTGCATCGGTTCCTAATTTTAGCAAGTAAATAATAAACAGCAAATATAGCTGAATTCTCTATAAAGTCAATACATAGATGAGCAGTTGATTTTTTTTTAAATCAGAACGGTAACACGATCCACCTGTCGTGGACAGCAACACTCTGGTACTGAAGTTAAGTTTTCGCACAGTGGGGCAAACAATTTGTGTACAGCGGTTTCCAAATTTTCAGCATAATAAATTTTCATTCATAAACCCTAATTGAATGTGGGTGTTACTAAATCCCTGGTTGAGGGGGACTACGGATTCCTTAGTTTTGGGTCATTATAACGTCATCTCAAAACCAAAACGTTTTCCTTTCTTGTCAAAAACTCCAATAGCCAAATCGGGCGTATAGCCAGGCCCGGCGAAAAAATTTCGGAAGGGGTCTTAACCATCGACACTTTTGCCCACGATCTCCCAAGAAAGAATAACCAGCTGAGGATAAACTTTGTATCCATCAAACACAGATAACGCTGTGCAGTTGCGGGATACGAAGGGGAACCAAAAGGGGGTAAAAATAACTCTGAGAGACCAGTGTATGATGATGCTAGTGGGGCCAACTGAACGTTCCTCATACCCATAAATAATATATTTTATTTTAATTAAGTAAGTAATTGAAAGGTTTTTGTAAAAATATACATTAATACTTGCTTTCTAGTAATTATGGTCAATAAAAATATCCATAAATAAATATAATATATAATTATATATAATGATAATATAATTTTAGAATTTTGATTTATTACTCCATTTTGGATGTAACATTTGTTATTTTTAGTAGGTGTATCATGGTTTTAGGAAAAGTACGGTATAAACTTAGTCAAATGTACATGTTCTATTGTTACTAACACAATTTCCTGTATTGAATAAGTGAACCATTTCTTCAGAAAACTGTGTCTAAAATTTCTTTAATTAGAACTAACTTTACAATCAGTGAAATTTTAACGTTTCAACATTTTTTCCAATTAGGCTAATTGAATTAGCGTTAGCATTTGTAAGCTAAATAACACTTTTTAACAGAAAATTTGTTTTATATAAAAAGTTTTTTCCAATATTAATTATTGTGTCAATCCAATTATTATTAATGTTATTATATAAAAAATATCTGTATCTTAAATTATTTTAATAAAATACAGCAAAACTTGAGTTAATGTTTACCTCTAACTTTAAACTTAAATTAAAAACTCAACCACCTTAAACCAATATAATGTGGGAAAAATTCTATTATAAATAGTTTTTCTTTAATTTTCTAATATCCTACGGGTATTTTTTTGGTTGTTTAACGATTTCAAATCATTCATAATTTTCCCCTTTATATAATATATTTATACAAATTATGTATTTTATTATATGCAATTAAATTTTATATTTATATTCTCCCATTAAAATTAAGTTTTTAATAAGTAGTGAGTACAATATGTTTTTTTAATAATCCAGGTTTTTAGGTAGTCCTACCCTACTTTACTTTCTTTCTACGTAAAAATCAATGAATATTTTCATAGGGTGTCATCAAATAAGTTGTCATCCCTTGGAAAATGATAGTTTACCTGTAGTAACCTGTGGCCACGAAACAAATGCCTAAGGAGTGCGCCAATTGTCATGATTTTTTTATTTAAAAATAGTAGCACCAATTCAAAAGTGATAGAGGAAAATCTAGCGTGAACTTACATTCCCCCAGGAAAAGATAACTTATTTAATGACATACTGTATACGTAAATATAAATGGTATAAATATGGTTTAGTAAAAAATAAATGTTCAGTAAAAAATAACAAATACATTTTCAGTAAAAATAATAAATGTTCAGTAAAATATTCCATGTTGCACAGTAAAAAAATACAAATGTTAGGTTTATATTTATGCACAGTAATTTAATAATTATTGTACGGGATTAAATGCTCAGTAAAAAATATCAAATGCACAGTAGTTTATTCCAATATTTCAAGTATAAATAACAAACGTAAATATAAATATAAAAAAACCATCAGCACACCCAAGAGTATAATTTTCTGTCCCCCGGGTGTAAAACTATCTTTGTACCAAATTCGTCAAAATCGGTTGAGTAGTTTAGGCGTGAAAGCCGTTTGTCCATTTCACTTATTTCAATTATTAATATGTTATGTTAATATGTCTATTAAATTGACTAAATTAAATTTACTATATAATTATTATTTTACTAAACATATAACTTGGCAATTATCAATATTTTACTGAAAATTAATTATTATCCTAAATATTTATTACTTAAATGCACCATTACTATATTTACTTATTTTACGTGTATGATTTTAACTGTGCATTTATTATTGTAACTTTACATTTATTAATTTACTGAACGAATATTAGATTTACTCAGTGATGTAACCGATACATTTTTATCAGTATCTAGGTACAGATACAAATACTCTCTGGCAAATGGGTACAGATACCGATACATTTTCCCAAAAGTATCTGGGTCAGGGCCGGCGGAAGACCATGGTAGTATAGGTACTACTACCCACTGGAAAAATTTCTGAGTAGGTATATATAGAGAGAAAGGAGGGGTTGTAAATACCGTAATAGGTTTATATTCACCTTAACGTAGCATTGTATTTTGCCGACCTCATATGGGTTTATAGTAAACACATCTTAAAGTATATCATATTTATTTGTTAATAAAAGTTAGTTCGGTAACAGTTAAAACATTAGTTGGTTAGCTATTAATAAAAAAACGCTATGTTAGAAAAGTATTCTTATAGTAATAGGTCTTCACTTAATAGTTAATCCACAGGCGCTTTATATTAGAAAAGCCTATTTATAGTAAATGAACTTAAGGTAATACTTCATTTACAAGAGCTTTGTATTAAAAAGGCAATAGGTGTTTATTATAATGCGAGAAATAATAATAAATATTTTAATTAATTGCAATTATCAATTCATATTTTAACTATTAGAAATGTATGATTATTAGTATAGCATGTATTTATAACAGTGCGATTATATAAGGTAATAAATAAAAGTTTGTATTTATAAGAAAATTTATTTTTGAAAAAAGTTTAAAAATATTAAAAGTGTAAGAGAACAAAAAAAAGAAAGTGGCGTCTGGGGGGTTTTGGGTATAACGATACTTAGTTATAAGACATGGGACCCACACCAACTAAGATATCGGTATAGCCAAAATCCACCAGCCGCCATTGAAAAATTAATACATTTAGAGTAAGCTTATACCTATGAGTACATAAAAATAATAATAATTAAAGTAATATTTTTAGAAAAAAGAATGTAGTGATATTTTGTTGCCGGAAGCTCATTAAAGATGAGTGGTAACTTCTGATTTCAAATCAATGATTTGTAGTTAGAACTATAATAGTTCTAAAAGAATTTAATTTTTATTTTTTTAATGCTTTATATTTCCTGTTTTATTTCTATTTACTGGGCTCCCTATATACCTTTATATCCGTAGG